TGATTTTATAAACACTTTAGATCATTTAATGTTATTAATGTTTATAAATTCACTTTTATTTCTTATTAAATCATTTATAAATGATTTTATACTCTTATAAACAACTATCTTGTAATGAAAGAAGCTTGCAATGATTCTAGAAGACATTGTAGTGATTGCAACTGAATTTAGTCTTACTTCTGACATTAGCTGGTTATCACAGTGGCAAAAGAATCGTCCATTTTCAATGGCAATCTTCTCCATCCAAATCTTGATAAACTGGTGGGTTATTGTATCGAAGATGATCAAAGGCTGCTCGTTTATGAGTTCATGCGTCGAGGAAGTTTGGATAATCACCTTTTTAGAAGTAAGTTAAGTTTAAATCTTCCTATTGTGTGTTGTCATTCATAATAGTAAGTGTTAATGAGTTAAAGGTTACTCCATATTCTCAAAAGTTGGAACATTTCTACACTTACATTTGTTTAAAGTTGGAAACTTTCTACTTCCAAATCTTAGATGGCAGGTCGATGTTTCTTGAACTTGTACTTGTGTGTTGTTGAAGGGTCGTTGCCTCTTCCATGGTCGATTCGGATGAGGATTGCTATCATCACATAATGTGATAACAGATTCAAAACTCATGAAATACCAAGTTTTTGTTCATTTATAATATTTTATTAATTGCTTTATAAGGGTTTATAAATTTATTTATTAGAATTTATAAATTTATTTATAAGGGTTTATAAACTGATTTATGAAATCTTATAAACTGATTTATTAGATATTTTATTTTGATTTACAAGAATGTATGAACTGATTTATAAGGTATCCTTCTTAACACTACTTCCACTAGCACTTCTTGAATTCAACATTTACAAATTATTTACAAGACTTCATAAATCATAATATAAGGTTAATAAGAACCTATAAGAGTTTATAAACCATTTATAAAGATTTATAAGGGTTTTTAAAATGTTTATAAGGGTTTATAAGAATTTACAAAGGGTATACAGACCATTTATATGTGTTTATAAATATTTCATATAGAATCTATAAGGTTTTATAAATTAATTATAAGGTTTTATATAGGTTTATAAGGTTTTAATCATCTTCTCTTAACAGTATCCTCAGGTGTTTCAAGGAAGAAGTTCTTATCACATAGAGTGAACTAGATGTTGGAGCAGCAAGTGGAGTTCCACAGAGGCAACAAACGTTAGGAGAGATGACTTTGGAGGAGTTCTTGGTCAGAGCTGGTGTGGTTAGGGAAGAACTATCCGTAGATTCTACATGCTAGTGTGGTTGTTCAGCTTTGCAACTGTGGTCAAGTTTATAAGGATTTATAAATTAGCTATAAACATTTATAAAAACTTATAAATTATTTATAAGAGTTTTAAATCATCTAAAATATTTTACTATGCTATAAATGTTTATACATCATTTTGTATTGATTTATAAATCCATTATAAATATTTAAAATGAGTCTTATAAATAATTTATAAGCTTTTAAAATAATGTTTATAATTTATAAAGCCTTATAAAAAACTAATAATAATTTACAAATGACTTTATAAATATTTATAAATGATCTATAAACCATTATAAATGATTTAGAAACCATTATAAATAATTTATAAAACCTTATAAATGATTTCTAAACCCTTATAAATGATTTATAAGCCTTTATAAAATGTTTTAAGACTTTATAATTGAATTATCTTTAGAATTTCTACAAATCCTTATCAATAATTCTGTAAACCCTTATAAATAGTTTTATATGATCTTATAAATGATCTATTGATTATTATAAAAAGTTTCTATATATTCTTATAAACTGTTTATAATTAACAGATTCAAAAGGGTTTATAAATGATACAAACCCTTTTAAATTCTTAAAAATGAAATACCAAGTTTTTGCACATTTATAAAATTTTACTAATTGATTTATAATGGTTTATAAATTTATTTATTAGAATTTATAAATTGATTTATAAGGATTTATAAATGAATTTATAATGGTTTATAAATGAATTTACAAGTGTCTATAAACTAATTTATAAATGTTTATAAACTGAAATAGAATAAAATGAATTTTTTTCTGTGTTAGAAAATGATTTATAAAGGTTTATAGTTTGATTTATAAAAGTTTACCAACTGATTTTTGTGTATATATAAACTATAATTTTAGATGTTTGAGATTATCACATCCACTGAATGTTTGGATCACTACGTGTAGTCGAATTCATCACATTCGTTCCTCTACCGTCACATTAGCAATATAACCCATTGGATAATTTCTAACAACTAGAACATTTTGATTTGGCACAAAAATCACAGTAATAGCTTCAGAAAATAAACCAGTTTCATTATCATTATCTTTCCACTGCACTTTATGGGATTCATCTTCTGAGATGTTAATATGACCACTACCACTATTGCTGCTGCTAGAGCTCTTGTCATGATCATGGCTTGAATTAGTTATTTGTATACCCTCGTTAGTATCCAACCATGGTGAGATGAGCGAAACTGACCGTGAAGAAGTGGAGACAAGGGAAAGGGATGAGGTTCACTGCAAGCTTCCTTAGATCAGAGTTGAGCTGACCAGGGAACCTAAGACAAGCATCATTCGATCAGGATACTCTTCCCTGATCTTAGATATCAGCAGAGTTCCCATTCCAGACCATGTGCCTCCACCAAGCGAGTGACAAACTTGGAAACCTGTTAAAAAATCATACAAATCAGTGCTATAGAAAAACACAATCAACTGTTTTTAGTTCTGAAAACAGCAACAAAGAGTTGTTAACATACCCTGAAGACAGTCACAATTCTCAGCCTCCTTACGAACAACATCAAGCACAACATCAATAAGCTCAGCTCCTTCAGTGTAATGCCCTTTAGCCCAGTTAT